GAAATGTGCAAGGAATGCAGACATGGCATGATTATAATATCTTTTCCATCCTTCTTGTAATTCATAATCCCACTCTTTCCATTCCCACATTTCTTTAAATGTGAGAGATTTCAATTTGGGAAGGCAATTGCAGATGTGTCATCACTCTTAATTCCTAAAAATTCATTACCCACACTTCCACTTTTTTACTGTCTTTATGTAGAGTACTTCAAGGGATGATAATTTCCCTAAAGAAGGCAAATGCTCAATGCTTACGCAATCAAAAATACCTAACACTCCTCAGATTAGTTAATGACACCATCCAATTGGGGAATAATATGCGCCTCCGTAGTATTGAATATTTAATCTCTTTAAATTTGGAGGTGGCTGTAAGGCTTCAAGATTACCTATCATCTCATTTATTCTCTCATGAAAACCAGCACGCCATTTTCATATCAAAATATAAATCCAAGAAAGGAGATTTGGTTATCTTAAGTTGTGCTCTTTTCGCCTCACCCACGTCTCTCAAATATCCCAACCCTTTATACCCCGAGAATGAAGATTGCTGAGGTGTTGTAACAACAAGACTACATGCTTTCGTATTATCACTCAATACGAATTCTTGTAACGTCCGAAGACAAGTTAATTTCTCCATTCCTTTTGGATGTACTCTAATCCTATAGTTCCCTTGTTTATCAAATGCCTCCAGTTTATTAATTTTTCCATCTTTTGAGGTAGTTTCTTGAGATGGTCACATTCACTGACATTAAGGTTTGTAAATATTATAATTCACATACTACTTCCGGCAATTCTTCAAATCATTATCACTAAAATTGAGATATCTCAAGTGTATCAATTCTTTTCTTTTAGAATTCTCCAATAAACTAGAGATAATATAGCATTCCAATACCTAGTGCCCTTAAATGTGTCAATTTAGCTAAAAACTTTGAAAAGGAGACATTATATTAACAAATCCCCCTGATATTTAACAAGGAAGCTACGTAACTTTTTGACATTACAAATAGAAGCAAAATCAGCTGATGGGACCTTTTCACCAACCAACATTGCGTGGTGACCTTTCTCATCTCAGTAAGAAAAGTGTAAAGTCATGAAACTATATCATGCATCTTACATCCGAATATTATTATCATCATAATTTTTTTCAGATCTTGAAAGAGAGATCGTGCAACTGAATATCAAAATACTCTCACCAATTATTCCATCTCCTTATTTTGTTCCAAACCCAGATAACCTTGAGCCATCCATAATTGTATTAATTGATCTTTATTTATACATATCTTTTGGAAAGATGTTACAATATGAGAAACATCGTTTCACCATAGATGGTAAATCGTTATAACTAAGAAATAGAGTGGGAAATAAATCTTCTTCAAACTTTTCTAGTTTCCACATTTCACTATGTAAGACACTTTCCCACTTCTTTATTCTTAAAAGCAGAAGAGACTCCCCATAATCTTTGCAGCAAGAGGTAACCCTTGCATTTGCCTACAATTTTCCTACCAATTCCTTCTAATTCTTCACATTCATCAGGGATTATTAGAACGCTAAACTTTTAAACAATGACCAACATGACTCTCGTGCAATTCATAATAGATGATGGCAATTTGATTCATCACTTGTGCAACTGTCTTTTGCGTGTGGTAATTAAAATTTTACTTTCATAATGACATTTTTAAACAATTGTACAATGGTCCCCATTTATCATAATCTTCTGTCATACATCATCTAGGACAAGAAGAAATTTTTTTTCCTAATTGATTCACTAATAGACTCTAAGACAGTTAATGCACCTAAATTAAGGACGACGCGTTAGAGCCTCAATGATCTCCTTGGCTACCTTGAACCGTCAAAAGGGTCTGATACACAGACCCACATTCTTTTTCAAATTTGTTTATCACCTCATATTGTTAAGCAAGTTGAGCTAGAGTTGTTTACCCATACCTCCCATGCCACAATTGAGATGATATGGAGGCTTTACCCTCACGACTAGTACTCTCACCCAACAATTTGCTTACTAAAGTAGCGTTCTCCATTTCTACCATAAATCTCAAAACATCAACAAAGGAGGTAGTTGGGTCACGTTGAGGTTGTTCAGTACTTCTAATAGTAAGACTATACCTATCTTTCTTTGGCAAGCATCTAGTCTTTCGTTTATATCCTAATTCAAGACTAATTCTACAACGAAAAACAAGTTGTCTGAAAGTAAAGCCAGAGGAGAGAAAAGAGAGAGAAAGAATGAGTACCCTCTTAGGAATAGAAGCATTTTCAGTTGTAGAAGCATTTCCAGCTGCCTCTTCAGCTTTCAATTTCAGAACTGAAGTCCTCCACTCATCCAACACGTCTTCCATGTCATAGGCTGCATCTTTGAGCTCATCTAACCAAAGTTTCACAGCCTCCTCCTTCAGTTGTCTTTCTTCAGCGTCCCTGAGCACGGCCTGAATCTTTCGGAGAGTGGTGGATGAACTCTTAACGGCTTTGCGAGCACCCGTCACAAGACTGATCCCACCTTTTATTTCTTTGACAGCAAAAGAAGTCAGCTGCTCCAAGACAATTGAAACAATTGCATCAGCCATTGGTAATAGTAACAAATCAAAGAGAAGAAATTAGGATATGAAGTTTGGTTGTTTTGTGAAAACTATGCGTATGCAATCCTGTCTACTTTTACAGTGTATGAAAAGAGACAATTGGAATATATTTTACTTAATTGGGAAAGTGAAACCTTGCTTTGATTCTGGTTTAGGCATGTTGCTTTCTCCAATCCCAAGCTATTCCTCTTCTAACATTCCTTACTTCTTCCCGTAAAGGTGTTTGTTTTATTAAAAAAAAAAAAAAAAAGAATATGGAGGTTGAAGAACTGAAGATAATCCATTGAAAGTAACGTAAAAATCCAATTCCAGGCTAAAAAGTAAAGTATTTATACACAATCCAGCACTCAAAACAAAAACTTGATAATTCAATTTGTTAATTAATTAATTAAAAACATTAATCCAATACTTAATTAATAATTCGTTAAAATAATAATTTGTGGTCATGCTTAGTCATATGATTAATTAAAGGATATGATAAGTGAAATTAATGATATGATAACTTATATTAAAAATTTAAAATTAAATGATTAGGCCTGAATGGTTGCGTAAATCGATGCAAAAAAAAAACCTTTGGTATTGCTAGATAATGAACTTTCAATTCCAATGTAATTTATTCGTATAATATAATTAAATCATTATCAACAAGTTATTATTAAGTTGTTAATTTAGTTATAGCTTTTTCAAAAACATTTAAAATTTTGAATTTAATAGCTCAGGAAAATCTTTGAAAGTTTCACTTGATATCTCTCTCCCTTTCCTAGAGCCTTTTATCAATGTTGTGTCTGTGCTCTGGGATCAGTGTTGCTTTCTCCAATACCAAGCTATTCCTCTTCCAATATTCTTTCCTTCTGCAAAGGGTGTTTGTTTCATAAAAAATCGAATGAAGAAAACCCATTGAAAGTAATGTAAAGATCCAATTCCAGCCTATAAAGTAAAGTATTTTTGGTTGGATTTATACACAATCCATTACTCAAAACAAAAACTCGATCAAAGATAAAAAAGAAATTGGTTTATATAATCTAATTAGTTTACTTGATTTGATCTTTATGATCATAAAGAAATGGTTTCAATGACATGAGATTTAAATTTCACCGTTTTATAAATGACAGTTTTTTGATTCCCTCAATTTAGCAGATGTATATGGGTTATACTCAAAACGATATGGGTTAGGCCCAAAATGAATGCGGGCTGTTACAAGCTAAGACATGTGAGGCATACTACTGAATATAATAATTAATATTCTAATATTAATGTTAAAATGAACTAAAATCATTTCACATTAAATGTATAGTTCATAAGATAAGAGGTTTGTAATATTTTAACCAATCTAAATAATATTAATATAAAGTTGAATATAATATTATATTTAAAATGATACTTAACATAAAATTTGTAAAAATTTTATAACAATCATAATATATCGCAGCAAACTATTTAACATTTTCTAACATTGATATGATATGATTATATTACAAATTCATCATATCATAATCACATTTCTAATGTTAGTCTATAATTCAGTATTTTCTCTAATTCACATTGAAGGGTATCCATCAATAACAATTCAGCATTCTTTCCTAATGCGGCCAATTTATCAACTTATTTTTCTTATTTTCTCTCATAATCTGTGTATGTTAATAAACATATGTGGTCGATATTTACTTCCTATTCTTATTTTATTACTAATTATTAGTCACAATTTTGTATTTTATTGAAATAAAACTTTAATTAAGAGAGAATCAATGTCAAAACCTAAACCCTTTTCACCCATAAGAAGGAATTTATTTAATTAGCATCTAATTAAAAAGAAATAGATCGATCCATCATCTAATTAGTTAATTCATTATCTTACTTCACATTACCCTTAAATTTAACTTGTAGTGCTTTCAAGTTAAACACTACAAGTTAAAGGCTTATTATCTGTGATCACGCAACCATCCAATCTGACCCTATTCAGATCTATCTCTTTTTCGTTTTCGTTTTCATTTATTTCTTGGTATGAATTTTTATTGTTTTGACTTTCATTAATTTATGGCTGATTGTTACTAAATCGCACGCACATCTTACTCAATTCCACCAGGGTCAATTGAGTATTGTTTTTGCAGATTTTCGTAACAGCATATATGAGAAGTGTCCAGGTTAACTAAATTCGAAGTGTTGCTGCATCTATAAAACATGAAATGAAATGAATTTGAAATGGAAGTGCATTATTAAAATTTGTTAAAGAGATTCGAAGTCCTTGTTTAATTGTTTTCTGTAGCATTAAAAAGCAGGTGGTGAGAAACAAAACCTGGGAATTATATTTTATAACACTCAACATTTCAGTCTAATGAATAATTATTGATTTAATAACATTATTAGTCTCATAATCTAACCATTAATCATCTTAAAACCAACAATGGTAAGTAGAACTTGAGTACTAAACATCAATGCACTTAGATAAGGCATGCAGCTTCTCAGAGAAGATAGTGTGAAGAATAACACTTTGATTCATGTCCACATTTACACGCTCTATCTTTTTCAGTGTCAGCTGTACCAAAAATGGCTATACAAGGACACAATAGCAGGCATAGTATACAAGCAGAAAACTCGGCTTTCCTTTATTCTAGAGCATCTAATATCTATTTCAGGCATACAGAAAATCATACACAAGCCATTATTAATTAACCTTTGCTACTTGCAAAGTGAAGCTAATATGCGGCGTGGAGGGTTGAATGATCGTCTAGCATGCAGCACAGCCCAGTTATCTATCAGCAAAACATCACCTTTCTGCCAAGGAACGGCAACTGATTCCTCTTCCAGGATTTTCAGACAATCATAGAGTGTATCAGCTGGCAATGGCTTGCCATCCCCGAAAGTCACTGCCTTCACTGGATCGTTTCGCTTGTCTTTCCACCCCGTGTAAGCAGCTACCATGCTGTTGAACCAGATTTTTCGTTGCCTTGATTCGTCATACTTGATAGCTGGAATCGGGCCCATGACTGTTTTCACTCCGCCATCCTCCATCCATTCCAATTTCATTCCCAGCTTAGCAGCCCTGCGGAAAGATAATTGAGAGCCATTTTAGCACAATATCCATAGTAAGATGCACTTTTATTTGCATATTTATGAAGTGATTCTCTTATATATGAGAGAAATGAAGCTAAGCTAAACAAAATATTGACAAGAATATCATGACAATGTAATCTTGAGCACTAGCAGAAGAAGGTTAAAAACTACATAACACAGTTTCGGCAAACAAAATTTTCATAATGCTGCCTTAACACGTGACATACACACAACCATGATTGACTGGATGCATGTGCATCTATTACACCAAAAATTTTCTCCAAATCCTCTGGGAGTGAACAATAGGCCTATCACCAAACTAAGGCACCCTCACAATCAATTAATTAAAGTAAATTAATCCTAGTTTGTTCATGTTTGTATGAGTCTAGATAAATCAGCACCTCAATAGTTTATTAGATGATCAAAGCTCAAACCTTTCTTCAGCTAGGCTTTTGTCTTCAGTCAAGAATGTGGATTTCCAACCGCAGCCGATTGGTGACGAGGGATCATCCTCCTCTCCTAGTACTCTTGTATAAAGTAATCCATGCTGCTCTAATTGTTCAACAAATTCAGGGTACCTCTGTTTCATCCTTTCATAGACAACATGGCTCAGGACTATAGGAGTTTCTCCACCACTTTCAGGCTCTACTTCACAGAAGAAGAACAACTTGGATGGAAACTCAGGAACCTGTTGAATAAATCCAGTGAGTCCAAAACAAAATTGGAACAATTTGTACTGAGCTACAAAACTATGAATTTATTATTTATATAAAGCAGTTTAAAGGATCAAAGTATTAACCCACAAGTAAAGCTAAAGAAAAATGGTACCAAATCAACCTTGAAATGTTTTTAACCAACTTAGCTAGAGTGAATTTAAAAGTGATTTGGCAAAAAGCATATATGAATAAAAATGGCTCTCCAAATGCACTTTACAACTTTATTTGGAAAAAAAAAAAATTATGGGGCCATGGTATAAGATCCTATTATAGCTACATTAAGATATAATTGAGCATTTAGCTTCTCTGAAAGTGTTTTTTTAAGAGAAAATCTAAAAGCTGCTTTTATCTATTTTATGCCAAACATTAAACATTAAATACAAAAGCAAATTTTTTACTATATAATCACTTCTAAGAACATCAAAATCCTCAAACTGCAAACACAACTCTAAACTCTTCCATGTTAAGAACTTTATCAAGTTCAATTCAACCTTATGAAAAGCCAGTAAATTTTTAAATAACAAAAACAACCAACCAACCTGAGCCATTTCATGGTGAAAAGGAATCTTCTGATCAGGCGGAGACTCATTGGCTGTAAAAACCCGACCAACAACGTTGGTCCGAGGAGCTGCACCACCCAGGTACGGCAACTCATCGTACCCAAAAGCCTCAACGACGTCGTTGAAGTCCTTGGCCGTCTTCACATCAAAACCTCTAAAAAGCACAGCTCCTGCTTCATGCAGTACAGAATCAAGAAACTGCTTCTGGGTCGTGATTGCTTCAGTGAAAAGAGACAAAGAAAACGGAACCGTTGTGGGGTTTGGAGACAGAACTGAAGGAAAAGAAATGGAATTGTAGCTTCTTTGCTGAGGGATTTGGATTTCTGTGAAATGGTGGGTATGATGAGCTTTCATTTTGTTTTCTGTTTTGGTGTTTCTGTGTTCACTGTTTTGAAACTCACAAAGTTAGAAGTTCTATGTGATCTTGTGGTGTTGTTTGTCTTGGTGTTTGCAGCGTTGTGTTGTGGAGGTGGAGGTGGAAGGTGATGTGGATAATGGTGGGGAGTATCACCTCGATGGCAAAGGCGTCCAGGTTCAGCTGATGGTAACGTTTCTAGATGGGAGTGAAATGGGCTGGACTCATTTAGGCCCAACAATATTGGACAGCATATCCAAATTGGGTTGGGCCTATATTGACCCGAAACATGTGTATATTTAGGGGATGTTTAATTCAGGGAATGTTTAATTATTGGAAAGTTAGATTATCTTGAGGGGGTATTTGGTTTAGGGAATGTTGGATTACTGAAAAGTTAGATTACCTTGAAGATTACTTATAATCTTTAGGAAAATATGTTTGGTTAATTCATAGGTATGTTATATTAATATGTTTGGTTGAGAGGAATAAATTGGTGGGTATGTTATTTAAATTACTAAATTGTCCTCTAATAAAAAATTATTATTATATTATTTTTTAATATTAATTATTATTTTTTAACAACAATCTAGCAGTCAACGGCCAGATCTGGCACTATCTAGCCATTTTCGGCCATATATATGGTCAGAAATGGCCAAATCTGGCACAATCTTGCCATTTTCAATCAGAAATCTGGTCAGAAATAGTCATATCGACAAACACTGACCATTTTCTGCCTTTCGTGTGCTATTCCGATGATGACGGAGGCTGGCTATGGTGGTGGTTACCGGCGGCAAGCAGCGACAGGTGGGTGGGGGTGGCGGCTTGGGTGGGCTGCAATTTGTTTTGAATTCAAGGGTAATTTTGTCTAAAAAGTTAATTAATTGTGGTGAAATAGTAAAAGCCATATTTATGTAAATAAATTAAAAAATAAGGGCATTATTGTCTTAAAATTTTATTAATAAGGGATATAATTGTAACAAAAAAAGATAATCCTGGTAATCTTAGAATACCTAAGAAAATGGAGATAATTAGATTACTTCTAATATTACCAATAGTAACCACTATTGGTATTTGAAGATTACCGGTATCTTATATTACTTGACAACCAAACATGATAATCAAATAATATAAGATGACTTAACCCTAATAATCCTGCATAACCCCCAACCAAACGCCCCCTGAAGATTACTGGGAATCTTTAAGAAAATGTGTTTGGTTAATTAGTGAGTATCCTATATTAATATGTTTTGTGTAGAGGAATAAATTTGTGGGTATATTATTTAAATTATTGAATTGTCATCTAATTAAATATTATTATTATATTATTTTTTAATATTTATTATTATTTGGATTATTATAACCCTCTATATTTAAAAACTTAGCAAAAACAACCCCATCATAAAAGTTTGGAAAATCAACAAACCACCCCCACCAACCCAGTCACTCTCGGCCGCCGGCAACCACCGTAGGTCGCTGGCAGCCGACAACCTAACGACGCATGGAAGGCAAAAAATGGCCTCCATACGTCGTATAGCCATTTCCGATTAGAGATCTGGCCAGAAATGGCCAAATGTGACAAATCTGGCCGTCGACAGCCAGATCGATGAGAAATCTAGCAGTCAACGGCTAGATCAATGGCAATTGATGGCCAGATCGTCGGATCTAGCCATTTTTGGCCATATATCTGGCCGAAAATGACCATATCGGCGCACAACAGCCATTTCTGACCTTTCGTGTGCCGTTCTGGCTGTGGCTGGCCGCGGTAGGTGGGTGGGGGTGGTGGCTTGGGTTGGCTGCAATGTGTTTTAAATTCAAGGGTAATTTTGTCCAAAAAATTAATTAATTGGGGTGAAACAGTAAAAGCAATATTCATGTAAATAAATTTAAAAATAAGGACATTATTGTCCTAAAATTTTATTAATAATAGATAAAATTATAAAAAAAAAAAATATTACCTTAGTAATAATAATTATCTTCAATATTACCAATAGTAACTACTATTGATATTTAAAGATTACTGAAATCTTATATTACTTGACAACCAAATATGGTAATCAAGTAACATAAGATAACATAACCCTAGTAATCCTACGTTACGCCCAACCAAACGCCCCCTTAAGAGTAAACAACTTTTTTCCACCCAAATAATAACTTAATGACACTTTCTCAGTCATAAATTTTTAAAATATTACTTTGCTGTCCAAATTTATATTCCGTTTCTAATTCTAGCATTGCTACGAGCCTACACTATCATCATTCTCTTCTTCATTCATCACTCACCAAAACCCCTCAAACCCTACTCTTATTGACCCCGTCAATCGTCAACAATCGAGCGACTAAGATTTGCACAATCACCCCTCCCAAGTCAAAATTCGATCAATTCCATGTACCAAAATCCAACCTTCCACCACCAACAGACTCAACAACCTCTCCTCTTCAAAAGTCAAATAGCTTTGACCGAGTTTGCTATTTGTTCGCAACCAAAACATAAATTTGAGTAGTAAAATACTATTTTAAAAGTCCATGGATGGAAAAATGTTAGTAAGCCAATATTTGGGTGGGAAAAAGTCATTGACTCTATATTATGATTTTGTAGTTACGACATTTTGCTATTAATTTTGTTATAATAATATTTAAAACATCGTTTGACTCATTTTTAATAAATTGGGCAATAGTACACTAACAAATGAATCTCATAAATTTTCTCTCACAAATCTAACATGATATTTGATAATTAATTTCAAATGAATTTTCTCATATAATAAATTGATCAAAAACCAATTATCAGCTATCATATTGGGTTTGCAAGAGAAAGTTTGTGAGCTTCTTTTATTAGACTATCTTTATTGTAATAAATTTTCTTTAAAATTTGCATATTGTGAAGAAATTTGAATTTCAACTTTTTTTTTTTCTCACTATTTGTCTAGTTGGATGTGGGCCGGGTCACCATTTAAAACTCCAACCCAATCTACATATCCTTCTAGAGAATTGAATTGAAAAAAATAAAAATAAAAAAAATCCCGCCTCAGGAGCTCAGTGGAAAAAAATTTAAAATCGAAACACGAACACAAATAAGGAGACAGATTCCGATTCCGATACACAGAGAGACAGAGTCACAGAGATGCCGAGAAACGATACGAAACCGAAATCAACCCGAAAACCGCTTCGAGATTTATCAACCAACAACAACTACAACAATGGAGGCGGAAGGTTCTCGAAATCCGTGAAGACGAAGAAGAAATCGGACGACAATAAGCAAATGGACGAAGCATCAGACGACAATGCACTCGATCGCCTCTTACTTGTGCAGTCCGACCTTTCGAATCTTCTTCAACAGGTTTAACTACCAGAGCCTCATAATTATTTCTTATAACTTCCTTTTTAAAATTTTTTTTTAATATAATTTGAGTGGTACGGTTGATATGAGTAACGTAGTGTTTAGTTGTAGGACATTCATTTGGAATTTTTCGGGATTTTTTTAATTTTATTATTATTATTTTGTATTGGAAGTTTTTGAAACTCTTATTGGGCGCGTTTGGTAATATGGAAATGAAATTGAGTGGAGATCGAAATATTAATATTTGATGATCTTAGTAAGAAGGTCTCTGATTTTGTTTATTTCTAGTTATTTGGCTAAATTCTGTGTCGCCAAACGCAATCCAAGTGGTGAGCTTAAATTTGGATCTTGTACTACTGTGTACATTCTGTTGTTTTGATGTAGATAAGCATATTGTAAATCTACATGTTTTTCTGCTGCTTTTTCACGTGTGAGGAATTTTAGCCGTATTGAATTTGAAAAACAGTTCATTGTTGAGAATGAATTCCGATGAAGGAAGGAAAGTGTAAGCTTTTTTCTGTTGCATTCGCACACAAGTTTTTTCAGTAATCTGTGAACAAATTGTGCCAATTTTACATGGTTTGAAGTTCCTTTTGTTACAACGCTTAAGCTTAGGCTTTAAGTTTTAATAATATCCAATGTACATATATTTTCCTTTTCTTTTCTTCTAAAATAGACATGGTTTATTGTTAATAAATTCCTTGAGCTGTTACTAATCGTGCAATAATTTATGCGATGAATAGCAGATTGATGAACTGGTTGTGCAAGCATTTAAAGTTAAGACAATGAGCAAAGAGGGGAAAAAAGAAATTGAATCTTTCACTCATGTCTTGTCTGATATGAGTTCTACTTTGAAGGTTACTTCCTATATTTCTCTGTGTCTTGTGGGTGGGTGGGTGGATCAATATGTTTTTGGTTCCATATGTTCTGTTTCTAAACTGCTTTGAAATATCATGTTGTATCATCGCAGCCATGGGTTCCCAGATTCCAGAAGGCTCTCTCCAGTCCTGCTGAGTCTGAGAATCAATTGGCGCAGACTTTAGCAAGTAAAACTGCTTCTGCTGCAGATGAAGATGAAAAAACTTGTGAATTTGGGAGTCCAGAAGAAGACAAGGAAGACACTTTAATCTCTCCTTCTCCCCTTGTATCCTGGCGAGTCAATTGCACTATTGAAAGAAATAGACAACTGTTTTTGCTCACACCTCTCCCTATTTCGAAATCTCTGTCGTCCAAACATCAGGACACTTCCAAATCACAATTTGAAAGGATTGCCTCCAATCATACAATAGAGCTACCACGATTTTCAACTATTTTGGGAGATGCAAACGATGATTTGCTGGAAGGAGTGCCAATAAAACCAACTCCAAGGAAGCCTTCGGAATCTCTAGTGCCTGGAAACGGAAACACTCTAGAGTCTGCATTTTTTGCTTCACCAATGGTTTCAAAAGGAGAACACTCCATGTTTATGATAACTCCATGTTTAAAAATGTCCCCTCCTAAATCTTGTGTGTTGCTTGAGCCTATTTCTGAGTCCACTCATCGACCCTTTGACAAAGTTCGTAAGTCCACTCCATTTCCAGTTGGAATTCATAATTGCCAAGGCTCAGAATCTTCTGAGTCCTCCGGTAGTGAAGCTTCTGAGGACCTGGCATTTAAGTACCCAGAACTGCTAGGAATACAGCAGGCTTGTAAATCAGTAATTCAGAAGAAAGAGTTGGAAACATCACCAGACTGGTCATTCTCCCCTCCTAAAAGTTGTGTTTTGTTGGAGCCACCTGATGAAAAATCATTGGAAAATGTTGCTGACGTTCACACCATGCCAATCACTTCTTGTGATTTAAATCAGCAAAATCTCTCTGTATTAAAAGGAAATGATATTCAAAAACCCTCTCAGCAAACCAAGAAATCGTTCCACCCAGGTATTACTTTTGTTATATGGTTTTACTTTTCTTTATGATATACATGCATTGGTTTGTAATGCCACGAGCGTTTATACTAAACATAATTTTATTCAAATGCTTATCCTTTTTTTTTTAAGAAATGATTCGAGGCAATGCAGCAATAGTAGAAAGCACTCCCCTGTGGAAGGAACCAGAGAGCACAATGAGAACCGGCAAGCGTCCTGGTGAGAGTACTCTAAAGAAAGAGTTGTGGACGAGGTTTGAGGCAGCATCGAGTATTGAGATTAGTTACAATGCCTCTGCATTGCAAAGGACTGCTAGGAAAGGATTTCTTGACATGCTGGAAGAGGCTTCCTGTGATGAAGAAAGTTCAGTGATCAATGGTCTCAGATAACAGTTGTTTTTATGTTCTGTAAACGGTGGCATTCTGTTGTATGTTTTAAAAGTGTCCAGTGGCTTAGCGGAAAATTGTCTCTTGAAGTGTTACAACGATAGTGCCACCTTAAATACATGTATTTTTTGGATTTCAAAAATTAATTTTCCTATAAGCCTTAGAGGCTGTTGCTTCTGCTTCTTTGAAATTCATTTTATAACCTTGCAGTAGGATTTTTATTGAGTGCATTAGACCAACGTTTTAAAACCTAACCCATGGTGAAACCTAACAAAGTGGTTGGATCTTGGGTTGACCGGTTTGACTAGTGGGTTAAACCGGTATCTAAAGGTTTGAAATCTAATAAAAATGATTGTGAAAATTTATGTAAGTCTTTATAGGTTTGAAATCTTGCAAAAATACCCCAAACATTATCGTCGACGTCGACAAATAAGGCATGTTTTTGGTGGTGACAACACTCCCCATCATCACGAAAACACTTCTCTCAGTCTCTTGACCAAAACCCATCTTATCCCTCCCTCGTTCGCCTCCCCAACCATCGGTGATAACATGATTTTTTTGGTGACATGGGTTTGTGATTTGATGTCGATTCACTCAACGGAAATCAACGTAGTTGCCACCATTGCACTCATTGGCAGTTTCTTTGTAAAAAACCTTAATATTCCAACCTTTAATTGTTTAAGGATTGATGTTCTAATTTATAGGGTTTTGAATAAATAAGAAAATTTGTAATTTGACCCGGTGAAGGCTTTGGGTCCTGACTCAACCGGTCGGGTTTTAAAACAATGCACTAGACAATATGCCCAAACCCCAAATGGAGTCTTTTATACCACAAATTTGTATAAAATCAATTGATCATGAGATGAATCTAGCATATGTTAATAAAAGTTAGGGTGTAGGTTCTAGTTCCTTATCCGGGCATCTTGTAAAAAAAATTACACCCTAGTAGTTTAAAAAATAACAAAAATACCTTAACAGTTTACAAATACACCCCTAAGAAATTAAAACCTGCATTTAGTAGTTTTTAACTTTTGATTACTCATTCATTTGTATCCAATATGACTCATAAATATTATACTAAATTTCTAATAATTTAATAAGTACTGTACTGATGTTTATAACATAACATTATAATTAATTAAGTAATCATACTATAAATCTATAATATAATATTATAATTAATTAAATTTTCTAATTATTTAATTAAGTAATGTACTAATGTAGTAAATTATTAATGTTTATAATGTAATGTTATAAATTTATAATTAATTAAGTAACTATTTAACTATGTAATGTTATAATTAATTAAATTTCTAATCATTTTATTAAGTAATGTATTAATGTAATAAATTACTAATATTTATAATGTAATGTTATGAATTTATAATTAATTAAGTAATCATTTATGATTTAACTATGTAATGTTATAATTAATTAAGTGATCATACTATTATTTAATATTATAATTAATTAAGTAGTCATTGAACTGTAATGTAATGTTATAATTAATTAAGCAATCATACTATAAATCTATAATATAATGTTATAATTAATTAAATTTCTAATCATTTAATTAAGTATTGTACTAATGTAGTAAATTACTAATGTTTATAATATAATGTTATAATTAATCATTTAATTATGTAATATTATAGGTAATTAAGTGATCATATTATAATGTAATGTTATAATTAATTAAGTAATTATACTATAAATCTATAATGTAATATTATAATAAATTAAATTTATAATAATTTAATTAAGTAATTATTTTTTATAATATAATGTTATAATTAATTAAGTAATCATTTAACTAGTAATATACTAATGTTTATCAATTTATCATATATAATTAATTAATTTCTAATTTACTATAAATATACTTAGAACTTGATAATTGAAGTAAATAACTAGATATTATATTATTATTCAATCAAATATACTATTTTATTAAAAAAATAACTCTTTTAATAACATTAAAACACTTTTAATTAGATCATAATTCCAATTATACACTTAATTAATCAAAACTTTAACTTTAATATTATAATATGTCAAAGTTTTTTATATGTAAAACTTTATATATATATATATATATATATTTGATTAGATTATTATAATATATCAAAGTTTTTATATAGTGTAGTTTATATGTATAGTTGTGTATATATATTTAATTAAGTTATTGTAAAAATTTAATTTTTTTAATTTTAAATTTTTTATATGTAAAATTACATTCACCCCCCATTCGTCACAAATATTTCGTTTCGACCCAGGTCCAAAACAGGTTCCAATTTGAGCACCTGCCCTCTGTTCCAAGCAGGTTCCAAACCGGGTACCTGCCCTCGGTTTCAAGCAAGTTCCAAACTGGGTAACCGCTTCAGGTTCTTTTCCCAAGTTCTGATTCCTCCATATATAGGAGTCGGAACAGCATAATATCGGTTAAAAAAAATGGAATCGGAACCTATCCACACAGTGTTGGTTTTGGGTAGGTTCCGATTCTACTCGCAGGTTCCGGTTCTATCTGCTACCTGTGCTCACCCCTAAAAGTTAAACACATGTCAATTATATATATATATATATATATAGAGAGAGAGAGAGAGAGAGAGAGAGAGAGAGAGAGAGAGAGAGAGAGAGAGAGAGAGAGAGTAAAACCTCTCTATAGCCATAATTGTGGGATTAATTTTATTACTATAAGGAGGTTATAACTTAATAGAGGTGTGGTAACAAAAATTTATTTATAATTCATGTTTTAGTAGTATAGTATTAGGATTTCAATTGATGTTTTAATAATATTAAAATTTCAATTCAGCGCTTCAATTGCCTGCTTTTGAAACGGATAGAAAATCGTGTCTTGAAACCAACAAAGATAAGCGTCTTTGATGGAATTGTAAATACAGTTGCTACATGGTCAAATTAATGTGAAGCCACAAACTATTGTCAATTTTTTTAATCATTACAAAATTATGCAGCAAATTGATGTGAAACCACGTATTATTGCCAATTGTTTTAATCATTACAAAATTATGCGGCAAATTAATGTGAAGCCACATACTACTGTCAATTGTTTTAATTATTACCAAATTAGGATCCCCGATGTTGATGAATTGTAAGTTACAGATGAAGTGGATGAAGAGAATCAAAGAGTCATTGTAGAATATAATGATTAGCTTCGACAACTTCATTACACTAATTGAATGGATATTAATGTCTTTTTCAATCATCCAAATGAGCAATAAGTTATGTTTTAACTAAATAAGAAATCATTATTATAATTAGACAAGAAGATAAAGAAAATAATCATGAGGATAATAGTACGGAAATACAAAAAATTTTGTGCCAAGAAGCTCTAAACATACTTGAGAAACTAGAAATATTTGGTTTCAACAAAAAGATATTCATGCTAGCGAGTAATCTATCCGCAAGTTAAAAGATGTAATAACATATTGTCAGAAGGAGGTAGATCAACATTGCATTACAATGATGGAAAATATTAATCTGTTTTGTTAATTGAAGTTGTAATGTTATAGTCAAATTAGTTTTCATAATCTGTGTAGAACTGCATCTGTATGCTTAGTGAACATTTAGTTTTATTTTATGTAAATTATAGAAATTCCTAGAGTTGGATGTTTTGGTTTTTAACTAGAATTAAATTACACAAGCTAAATCCAGTCAGGCATGTGTGATCCCTTCGCGTTTCTCACATGCAGGTTTATTGCATTTCTCACTTTTGTTGTATGTGTTTTTGATCACTTTACCTTTCCTATTTCTGCACGACTTGTACTTCAAATTCTTTCTCTCACCCTCTCTCTCACCCGTATACACACACACACACACACACACAAAGTGATTTGTTGATGTGTGATTTTGACACCAACCAAACGCACGTATGAAATGCTGAGCTGACCCAGAAGGCACACGTGGATGAAAAAATGAGATGAAAGAAATGACTAGACAGTGTTTAAAGTGGTTCGGATGCTTAAGGAAGCAAGTCCTACGTCCACTGATGTTATATTAATGATAGCGGCCAGGTCGAGTCAGCGAGCTGACCTTACAAATGATTACACGAGAGTGAGAGAGAGAGAGAGAGTATATGCCGTTTCTTAGTGAGATTAGCTAATCCCCTAAATTGAGAGAAGAACTCTCAATTTATAATGGGATAGATTAAGGTTATGATTATTGAATCTGTGAGTTGGTGGGATTATCCGTACAAATCTTCCTTGATGTCTCATTGCCCACCTTCCAGAGCGATTTACGCGATTTGGTGCAGGAATTGGACACATGGAAGCTCTCCAGCTCTGAGTTGGCCTGGCGCGCACCCACTGCACTAACAGAAGCATGCTGCTCCTTTCATCACGTGACTCGGCTACGGGTGTACCCAAGTTCTGACTTTTTCATGTTGACCTGACCTTTACGTCAGCCCTGCTTTCTTCAGGCATAACATGATTCGTGCACATGCATATGTGTGCTTGCGTACCTGACTCAAGACATGCACTTTCAGCCAGAAACATATTCAATAGATATCATTCAATAAATTTCTGCTCTTCTCATTTTTTAATTGATTTTCTTGGCATATTTCCTTGTATTCCTTTTAAGTAACAATTAAATGGTTTATTGTGGTCAAGGGTGAAGACTTTCTCTACGGAATCTGTGAAGCTATTGATGGGGAGAAGGATCCACAGTGCTTAATGCTAACTTTTTGCATTGTTGAGGTTGTGGTTGGAAGGTTACTTCCTACATTTCTCTCTGTCTGTGGGTGGGTGGGTGGTCAATATGTTTTTGGTTCCATATGTTCTGTTCTAAACTGCTTTGAAAATCATGTTGATATCGCAGCCAGGGTTCCCAGATTCCAGAAGGCTCTCTCCAGTCCTGGTGATTCTGAGAATCAATTGGTACAGACTTTAGCAAGTAAAACTGCTTCTGCTGCAGATGAAGATGAAAAAACTTGTGAATTTGGGAGTCCAGAAGAAGACAAGGAAGACACTTTAATCTCTCCTTCTCCCCTAGATCTTGGCGAGTCAATTGCACTATTGAAAGAAATAGACAACTGTTTTGCTCACACCTCTCCCTATTTCGAAATCTCTGTCGTCCAAACATCAGGACAC